GTGATTATTTTTGGAAAAGAAAAGGGAATGTTAAAGGTTTGTTGTCATTCCAGCTATAAATACATATATATTTCTGTTCAAAAGTTTGGGGTCAGTAAGATTTTTAATTTTTTGTTTGTTTTTATTTGTTGTTGTTTTGAAAGAAATCAGTACTTTTATTCAGTAAGAATGAATGAATAACATTCACCAAAGTGACAGTAAAGACTTTTACGTTGTTGCAAAAAATGTCTATTTCAAATAGATATTCTTTTGAACTTCCTTTATCCTCAAAAATTGTCATGACAACTGTTTTCAACATTGATAATAATAAGAAATGTTTTATATATATATACATATACATACATACATGCATATATATATATATATATATATATATACTGTATATATAATTATTATTAGAATGATTTCTGAAGAATCATGTGACATTGAAGACTAAAGTAATTGCTGCTTCAGCTTTGCTATTGCAGGAATAAATAGCATTTTATATCATATTAACAGTCATAAATCTATTTTAATTTTAAATTGTAATAATATTTCACAATGTTACTGTTTTTACTATATTTTGATCAAATAAATGTCTTAATGAGCATAAGAGACTTCTTTCAAAACATTAAAAAATCTTGCCAACCCAAATCTTTTGAACAGTAGTGTAAAGGGTGAGATGTTAAATGTTTATATTATTATTATTAGGGGCCAAGCACCGAAGGTGCAGTGGCACCTATTGTATCCGTTAGCGTCATTTTTCTTCTTCCGCCGAAAGTCTATGGCAGCCCATAGAACCGCTTGCGGGAAAGTTGTGAAATTTGGCACACTGATAGAGGACAGTCTCAACATTAACCACAGCAAGTTTGGAATCTCTAACTCCAACTCTCTAGCGCCACCACTTGTCCAAATTTGCAATTTCTTTATGCTAATAACTTTTGAACCATAAGGCATAAAATGAAAATTCTTTTTTCCTCTGAATCCTTGGCTCATGTCGAGTCGAATGAACACAAAATTCAAAAATCGCTATTTTTAATTGCTATTTTTTTCCCCGCTATTTTTAATTGTTCGTAAAACCTACTTTTTCGAACTCGTCCTAGACGGTTTGTCTGATTCTCACCAAAATTGGCTCAGATCATCTTCAGACCATGCTGGCAAAAAGTTATGGAATTCAAGTTGATTCGTCCCACCGTTCTCGAATAACGCACGAAGGAATTCTACGAAAAGCACGTAAAAATGGATGTGAGGCTATATCTCCGCAACGGTTTGGCGTATTGAGACCAAACTTGGTGTGTGTTATAACAAACATGACCTGAGACTACCTGCAGTGTTTCGGCGTAGTGCCCCCTAGTGGTCAGGAGATATAAAAAATGCATATTTTTGTTTATAACTTCTGAATGGTTTGGCTAAAAATAATAAAACTGTGAAAAACGGTGGAGCATGCCGAGTCGAACCATACCAAATTTTCCCATGTCTGCCATTTTGGGCGTCGGCCATTTAGAATTTTGTCAAAAAATGCAATATTTTAAGAACGCTTAGACTTTATTATAAAAATCGGTATGCATCTTCGGCACCATGCCCTGATGGTACTCAAAAAGTTTGGAAGCAGCGCTTTTGTTTATAACTTCTGAATGGTTTGGCTAAAAATAATAAAACTGTGAAAAACGGTGGAGCATGCCGAGTCGAACCATACCAAATTTTCCCATGTCTGCCATTTTGGGCGTCGGCCATTTAGAATTTTGTCAAAAAATGCAATATTTTAAGAACGCTTAGACTTTGTTATTATAAAAATCGGTATGCATCTTCGGCACCATGCCCTGATGGTACTCAAAAAGTTTGGAAGCAGCGCCACCTTGTGGTCAAAAGTTATAAAGCAATTTATAAAAATGCTAATAACTTTTTTGCATACATTATAATATTGTAATGAGACTGATATTTATAGATTCCTTGCATCATGCTGAGAACATCGATACCAGTTTTGCCATAATTGGCTGAACTTCCTGTCCGCCATTTTGATTCATGTTGAAAACCTACTTTTTCGAACTCCTCCTAGACCGTTAGTCCAATTTTCACCAAATTTAACTCGGATCATCTTCAGACCAAGCTGGCAAAATGTTATGGATTTCGTGTCGATATACAAAACGGTTTTCGTTTAGAGCATCAACGAATTTGCTGGTTAAGATGCCAAAATGCATCTGAGGCTGTATCTCTGCAAAGCTTTGACGTATTTGCACCAAACTTTGTATGTGCCATTGTCACCTCACACTGACCACGCCACATCAATTTGGTAACAGCGCCACCTATTGGTCAAGAGTAATAAACCATTGATTTATTATTAATTATGAAATTTCCAAAAATGCTAATAACTTTTGATTGCATTAGCCTAGGGCTGGACGATATGGCCAAAATTGATATCACGATATATTTCTTAATTTCGGTCGATACGATATAATTCCGATATCGATATGAACACTATTTATCTGAAATAGAAATCTTTTGTAACATTATAAATGCCTTTATCATCACTTTTGATCAATCTGTTATAGCGCCACCTATTGGTCAAGAGTAATAAACCATTCATTAACCATTAATAATTACATTCATAAAAATGCTAATAACTTTTGATTGCATTAGCCTATTGCAATGAAACTGATATCAAAATATTCCTTGGCTTATGCCTACAACATAGATACCAAATATGCCAGAGTATGCTGAACTTCCTGTCCGCCATTTTGATTTATGTTGAAAACCTACTTTTTTTAACTCCTCGCCACTCGTTGGTCCGATTTTCACCAAAATCGAGTCAGATGATCTTCAGATTGTGCTGACAAAAGTTATGGATTCCGTGTCGATATATGAAACCGTTTTCGTACAGCGATGCTACAAATTTTAGTTATGGTGCCAAAATGACTCTGAGGCTATATCTCTTCAAAACTTTGACATTATGACACCAAACTTTGTGTGTGCCATTGTCACCTCACACAGAACACACCAAAATGATTTGATTACAGCGCCACCTGTTGGTCAAAAGTGATAAGCCATTTAATCATATTAAATGGTTGTATTTATGATTTTTCAGCCATTTCAATTACAATCATCCTTAAATTGCTTTTATTACTCATTGTTGCATTTGGTCTGATGCTCCATGCCATGCTTAGCTCCTCAATTTGCCTCTGGAGTGCTTGGCCCCGTGATTGCTGCTTGCAGCTATATTTATTATTATTATTATCCTGTTGATGTTAATTAGACTGTATTAATAATGGAATTGCTGAATGGTGATGTTTTCATTTATAGCTGCTTTTTCTTTTCATTAACATTCAAATAGTCAATAATTTACAAAACGACTTGGTCTTTAATCCAAATATTGTTGTTTTTTGATTAGCATTTACAGCTTATTTGTTGCATTAATTCTCAAATGCTTTTATTTATCAAACATTTTCAAAGGACCTCATTCTTGATGTTTTTGGCAAATTGTATTAAATGATTCTGATTAGGTAGGCTTGAATCTTTTTAAAATCATTTTATATTGACCTGTTTACAGTGAAACAGGCTAAACTATGTAGTCGTTATTGTAAGCTGATATACTTCTGCACATGTTCCTGTTAAATCAAAAATCTTAGTCCACATTACTGGTCTTATTGTGCATTATTCATATGTTCACGCTATTCCAGAGGGGAAAAAAATGTCTCCATTTCCCAGTCATGATCTCAGTTCCCAGCAGGTCAAAATTTCCATTCTTTCCACAATCAACTGCAAACCCGCATTCAAGTCTGGCTCCATTCTGATACAGAAAGTCCACTTTTCACAATCCAATCATTTCCCAGTGGATAAAATCAGACATTATTGAATCTCATTCAATATTCCGTTTCGGAATATTCATTGAAATATGTCACATTGGGGAAGAAAAAAATGAATTGTGAATGCAATTTAATGTCGACCCCTCCCCCCACACACACCTCATTCCAGCTGGACAGGATTGGTTCTTAAAATATTTCATCCTGAGGTCATAGTAAAAAGGATGATTTAGAGCTTAGGGTGAATTAAGAGTCAAAAGTCCCAAATTTAGATGTATTAAATGTTTAGATAATGACCTAAACCTCACCGAAACTGGTCACATAGAGAAGCATTTGTTTCAAAGTGCAACATTTTAATTACATTTGTTCCATATTTTTTAAAATGAAAATGATGTTGAAAACCTCCATGAATGATCAACCCAGCTTTAACAGCTGTTACTGGTTATGTTTTTCATGTCCATGTTTCATTCGCAAGCCAATTTTCATTCATTTTCAGAGTCCGTTTTTATAAGAATTAACAAGATTAATGACACTTTCCTGCACACCACAGCTGGATGTGCGGGAACAGATGTTATTTAAATGGTAATTTTTGTTCTTTTTCTTTTGTATTAATTTCTGACAGCTTGCAGTTCTATTAAACTGCAAATCCATTTGGGAATGAATGCGCTCTTAGAACTTGGCAACCCATAATTAATCTCTTTTTTTTGTGTGTCTCAGTCTCATTTGACTGATAGCTGCGTGTTTGTTTCAGTTTAAGGTGTGCCCGCAGAGTCAGTGTGTGTCCACTCCGGGTCACCGAACTGACCTGTTCCAGAGGGATCCGGGGAGCGTCCTCATCACTGACTTTTTCGGAAGTGTCCGCAAAGTGGAGATCACCAAGGACACTATCAATCTGACATCCCCTGTAGAGCCGCCAATACAGAGGCAAGTAGAACACAGCTGTTAGTCTCTAAATGATCCCGAGCATTACAGTTTCCTGGAAAAATGCAGTGTATCTTCTGTAGTAAATGGAGTTAATTAGCCCATTCAGTGTTGGCTTTTATGGGACACAAAACATGATTTTATATATATATATATATGTATATGTAATATTATATAATGCAGTTGGCATTGAAAGCTTAAATACTAAACATTAATTTTGGTATAATGTGTGCGGGGCAGGGGATCATGCTCATCGGGACGGTGCATTTAAGTGACTGCAAGATGTTTATAGGACAAACATCTGATGACTTTTCCTGCATTTTCTATGCTAACTTTGGAGGAAAAATGATTAAACTCTTCTATGCATACTCTTAAAGGGATACTCACCCTCCTGATATTCAAAACATGTACGACTTTCTTTCTTCTGAGGAGCGTAATAGAAAATATTTTGATGAATGTTGGTAACCAACATTGCATTTTTGTCCATACGTTGGAAGTCAATGGAAACCATAACTGTTTAGTTTCATTTTTGGGTGGTCTGTCCCTTTAATATGGAAGCTTGTTTCCACCACTGAATAAAATAATAATAATAATTTAAAAAGTCAATTCGACTTTTTATCTCATTATTCACATTTTTTGTTTATATCTCACAATTTTTATTTTTATTTATTATTTTATTTTCTCTCAATTGCAAGAAAAAAGTCAGAATTGTGAGAAGTCACTTTCATTCATTCATTCTTTTTTTAATACTGTGGCGGAAACGGGCTTCCATAATTTAATGTCCAGTTTAATGTGAAAATTAAAATAATAATAATATTTCTTTATTTTCTTTGGTCTGGCATAATTAAGATTTTTTTAAATGAGTGTTTAGTGGTTAGAGCGGCAGCCCTAATTAACCCGTTTTAAATGTTCCAGAGCAAGCAGTCTAATTTAATGAAGCATTAGAAGCATTGTGGCTGTTCGCTATTAAAAACCTTATTAGTGATATTGACTCCTCTAATGACCCGCTAATGATTTTGCATACTGCGTCACCATGGTTACTGAGAAATCTCCCAAATTGGGTCACACAGGTTTCCAGTATGATAAATAAGGCTTTTCTAATAGAAAGATCTGTTAAACCTTCTCTTCAAAACAATTCAAAACACGTTTAACAGACAGTTCTCACTATGTGAACTTTAGCAAGCAGAATTATTTAAACACCATTCAGAACCTCTTTTTTTTTACTCTACACACAGTTCTACTAACGTTCAGCTTGGCACAGCATTTAAATTCACATTCAAAATGCAATAGTACGACCAGAACCCTTCATACATATCTCAAATCAACTCATTGTTCTATAACACTAGCAAAGATTGTCAGCCAGAGTTGTTTGTGTCCTTTGTAAAATTTCTTTAACCAACAAAAATGACAACTCTACTGTTAGAATTCACTGCTGTATATGTTACATGGTCTATGTACAAATGTATTCCTAAGTTTCCCCTTTTGTATAGATGGTAAGGGAATTGAAAGACTAACACTGTGTAGGAGTTCAGTTTCAGCTATACCTAATTGTTTCGATAGTATTTCATTCTTTAGATTGGGAATATACTGTATTTCAAAATGGCATTACTGTAGAAATGCAGCAAATTGCAGTCTTATTCAGTTTTGTATTATGTTACGTTTTGAACATAATTTAGCAGTTTTGGAAAGAGTATGCCAACATGCAAATGGCATGTACATTTTGTGGGCATTTTGGTGGTGGTTGTCTATAAGTGAGAAAATAATTCAATTTGCTGGAGTCATTGAATGCATTTTGTGCCAAAGCAATTATAAATGAGCCACATTTTAGCCCGTGAAGACTGCTGTTGAGCTCACTGTGAGAAGAGTTTTGGAAAAAGTGACCCAAGTATGGATAAATGGGTGCTAGAGACTAAAAAACTAATAGCATTTGCAGCATTGTGTTGTGAAACATGTAGGCCACAAGATGGCAGTAGTATACAAGATGGCAGTAGAAAAAAATATATTACAGGTTTTCTCTGCTGTCAAACGAATCTGTAATGCAGTCAGTGTGTGGATAAGACTATATAAACACATATTAGATTCCTTAGCATCATAGTGAAGTGAATTAACTTTATCTATTGTAGTTGTATTGAAATAGCAGCAGCACATATCATTAAAATCAAATTACAGTTGGACCTATCTGAATCCTAATTCATCCGAAACTACAGTGCAATAAAGCCTGCATTATTGCATTATTATTTCATTATTTACTGTTGTCAGGGTTACAAGTCAGATTATGTAAACAACATTATACCTTTTTCTAATCTTCAAAGATAATTTATAACTAATTAGTGTGTAAAGCTAATTTAGCTAAACTGTTACGTCTTCCATGTCTTATGATTTTTTTAATTAATATTGATGGTTACCGGAAAAAAACAACATTTCACTTGTTTGAAAACCAAGTTGGACTGAACCAAGGAAACATTTTGAATGGGTCAGACCGAGCATGACGAGAAATAATAATGACCCCCTCCCCCATCTTAGTTCTAACAAATACATTGTAATCCATGACAATTTCTAGTACCCCTCACTAAAATTCTACTCCTTATGAATAAAATTGCTGTGACTAGAGTAAACGGCAGCTGAGATCTCAATGTATGACATTATCATATGTTGAATAAATAAATAATGAATAATAAGTTAAATAATATATGAGATAAATCACTCTGTTCCACTGAAATGCAGCAGAACGCTGATCATTTTCACCAGGTATTGTGTTAATTGTCCTTCCTCTAGTGTTTTAATTTTTCAACATTAAAGGGGTCATATGATGCTTTTTTACAGATCATTATTTTATGTATTTGGTGTAACAGAATATGTTGACATGCTTTAATGTTCAAAAAACATTATTTTTCAAATACTGTACATTATTGTAGGTCCTCTATGCCCCGCCTCTCTCAAATGCTTCGTTTTCTACAAAGTCCCTCCTTCCGACAAGCGCAGTCTGCTCTGATTGGCCAACTGACCCAGTGCATTGTGATTGGCCGAACACCACAAGCACGCGTCGGAAATGTAACGCCCCTTACCATAATCGCGAGCTTCATCTTTCAAAATAAATGTAAACACAGGTAATAATGTCATTAGTTTTACCATCAGTTCAAGCCCGAAAGGGCAACACAGTCGCGTGACAGACACAGTGATGAAACTGGTATGTGT